AGTAACCGTTTGGCCCGCGACGTCTTCGAAGAAAAAAGGTCCGATGACTCCTCCAGCGATAACAGCACACCATACAGTGACTTTGAGCGGGTGTAATGGCTCTTCGTGGGTTACACGCGGATTTTCAGTGCCCCAGAAGCGTAAATTTTGCTTCACCAGTAGGCGTTGGACGGCCAGGAAATCTGCCAAACTCACCGACCGATTATTGGTCAAATAAATAGTCAGCAATATTCCGCGTTCTGGAGCAGTGTAGCGTAACATTGTTTATTAACGTGTATTTCGCATGTGTTTACTACACAAATGTCAAAACAGAACTGACATTAGGGGCCAATCGCAAAATTTATAGCATTTTCTGATAGGAGGATTACTTTAGCGCCACCTTGTATATAAATAGAGCTGCTGAGCGCTGTAGAGTTGATGAGCGCCGTAACTGGTATTAAGAGCTAACTTAGCTCGGTATAGAGCTACTCAGTATTACTGAACGACTTCTTAGCCGGGAGGATATGAGGCCTCTTACTCGCTATCGGCCGGGATATTGTTGGGTAAGTAACTACCTCGGGTTGGATCTTTCTTTATAGACAGACTGCTAATTCTGTAATCTGTTGAAGGAAACCACAGAGAATATATCATGCGATTGGCCACGTATAAAAAATCTTAGTTAGACTGAAAAAAGTTGGGGAGAGAATATCGTCTTCAAGCAGAATCTGAAGCACCTCATAAGGGCGGAGATATTTAATGGATTCTACTTCGATTACTACTTTAAACATTTCGTGGCTCTGATGCAACCCTCTCATATTGAAATTCAGGAGGGGAGGATAAATACCAACACACTTATAGCGTTTTCTTTTCTCGAAAAAAGGCTGCACTTATTCTGTCTTGTGTTAGCGCTGTCATATTTTCATGTTCTTTTCTCAGCCCTTTTACAAGGCGTCGTGTTCTTTTCTCAGCAGGTTGCGCTCTGATCCGGCGAAAGTGCTGCCTTTTCTGTCCTCAAATAAACGTGAGGGTGAGAGTTGCATGGTTGATTTCTAATCTAAACTTGTAAAAATGCAATTATTTTCCCTATCAGAAATAAGTGTTTTGCATTAAAATTGTTAAACACTTACAGGCCAAGTGAATAATTCAGCTTTATTAAGTTCTATAAATAAATTGTGATGGAGTAGTGTATTTTCTGTTTCATTCTCATATAAAGAACGGAACATTTTCTCAGGTTTCAGGGCAACGCAAAGCAAGAGTTGTGGGGCTATCACTTTTATCTAAACACAGCTTTAGAACGCAGTAGAGGTTTTTACTCCAACGATTTTATATATAATTTCCCTATAAGATTTATATATAATTTTCCCATAAGAAATACAGTCACGCAACAATAACAATGGAAAAATGTTGAATGTCGAAAACTTTTCGATAATATGTATTCAGGTTTCTGAAACTTCGAAAACTTACAAAAAATATGTGTCTCAATTTACAAACTGAGAACTGAGTATTTTCCAGTCTACCCTTTTGTTTATTTTGGCAGACGGCTAAAAATTGATATTGAAATTATTCTAACCACTTTTACTTTACATACTTTGGAATATTTTTAAGTGCGTCGATCTTGTAAAACGTTCGTTACGAAAGCTTTTCTCAAAATACTTCGAGATTATTCCCAAAGTTCCATTAATGTAAGGAGATTGCTACAGGGTCTTATTTTTTATATGAAAAGAAGTGACTAAATTGGAAATCTTTATACGTATCCGAGAAACATGTTAGTCCTACTCTCGCTCACAAACGATCTCTCGGTTTCCTCATAAACGTACATACACACATATGTATTGAGTTTGAATGTATCTGTGAGTATCCACCAACGCCGGCATAAATTATTTCATTTTACCTGTTATCGGTTAGTACCTATTTATGTACTCAAATACCTACATACATACATACATACATACAGACATGTTCACACGCACTTGTAGGTGTTTATGACATTGCACCTACAATATATGCATACATACTTATGTGTGTGCATACATACATACATATGTACATAGTATATGCTGCGGTCCCTATTCATTCATAAAAAATACAATAAAATAAGGGAAGAAGAGCAACACATTTCGCTCGACTGTTGAATTTTGCCGGCTTTTTTTTTTCCTTTATTGGTCTCTCTTTCACGCTGAATTTGAAGTTTATTCGTGAAAAATGGAATGGTGTTGCAGACATGTTCGCATTTTTATACATACTCACCTGTTGATTTTGTTTAGCGTGATATGTATTGTATGTATGTACATATGTATGTTTAGTAACATGTTGTTGGTGATATGGTTTCGAGTGAGCAGTTTTGAAAGCACTGCATGGATTTGAATATCTGTAACATTTAAAAATAAGCTGGGAATTTGAGCTTACAGGAAAACGGTACAAATTTAATCTTTTTACTCCACTTTATATTATTTATTAGTAGTAGTGTCAAATAAAACTACAATTTATTTTCTGATCCTTAATGAATATTTCCATGTCCGTAAAAAAATGTAAAATATAAAAGTAAATCAAAAAACACAAAAATGTTGTAGCCCATTAAATTTTTATAATAAACTTTCATTAAAAATTCTAATTTTCCCGAACTCGAACTGAAAAAATTAAGATAGAGGGCTGAAAATTTGTTAACTTTTTTTTTTTTTGTGGCTGACTACGAAACTTCATATGGGACCCAAAGAAGGAAGGGTAGAGTTTGTAAGGGCAAGTTTTTCGGCGCACGGCCGTGGTTTAAACTTAGTTTAAACACCCGATCTGGTTGGAACTATATTTTAAATAAGTATATATTTCTATTGGTTTTTGTCTAATCCCGTTAAACTAAGCAAATGTTTCAGGCCAGATACCAACAGGGTTGCTTAAATAGCTAAAATGAATTTTACCCGAGTTCAGCCTTTTTTTCGCTCGTTAAAAAAAATGCAGCTATAGTCTAGTAAATATGTCGAAATTAAATAAGCGTACTCAACGAAATTTCATATACATACATACATAACGATCAACAGAAATAACAAGTCATCGATCCAAATATACATACATATACCACTCAAACTGTGGTCAACAGTGCCTTTCAAACTGTAGCTGTGAGCATCCGTTCGGTATTTCCGGTGGAAGTTCGAAATGTCTAGGCAGTGTTTCTCATATCCGAATTTACGGATTATACAATGTACCTAAATTTTTTGTTTCTCCACGTGGGGTTCAATGAATTGTTCTACATTTTGTTGATTTTTTTTTATCTTCAAGTGGCTATATTAAATTAAAAGTTTCGCGATTTGACACGGGGCACACTTCGAGACTTATTGCGGTTTATGTTTCACGGTTTAGCCAGGAAGATGGTCCTGTAAAATATTTTGAAATCGAAGTATTTTTCTAATAAATAAAGTTACGAGCATGTCGAACCGAAAAATAAGAGCTTTTTCCTTTCAAAGATTCGAATCAGTCAAATAAAAGCACGAAAACACAATTAGTTTGATTCTATTTTTCGATTTTATGGAAACTGCAATATCTGATTAGACATACGAGATGGTATGTATATCGTCAAGCTCTGATAGAACGCTGTCTAATAATAAGGTGCGGTAGGGAATGCTGGATGATCGACAAGTAAGTACATTGGCATAATGAGATATGAAAAATTCATCTAAACTAAACTAAGTACACAAACCTACCTAAATGATACAAACCTACAGCTGAGCAATTTTGGGCCATTGCGAGGCGGCAGTGAATGAAAGGTGATCGATTTTTGTTCCGTTTGTTTTTAGTGGGTCAACGAACGCTTGCTGTGATCACTTTGTGCTTTGTGCTTCCAAAAATGATGTGTTTGTTGTAAGTGAGCCAAGGTGAGACAATGAGCCTCATGCATAAAAAGTGAGCTTAAGCTCTGACTCGATTTTCAGTACAAATTCTTTGGCTAAACCTCACTTCATCTTAAGCTTAAGGAGCTTAAAGGTCTGATTATGCATACTTCGCATAACTTCGCACAACCATTTGTACCAGTGCAGTAAAAATGCAACTTAAGAAAATGTGAAGCTAAACTCAACAGATTTCTAAGTTTTTGAATGTTCTGCTAATTTCTGGGTAATGGAATACAAACAAAATACGTGCGAAGTACATACGAAATTGCAGTCTGAAATTTATGCGAAGTTGTGCGAAGTTATGCGAAGTGTGCGTAATCGGACCATAAGGATACTTTTTATGCATGTGGACGAAAGTGATGTTGTCGAGAGCCTACTGAGCTATTGGATGCGCACGCATGATATATGTATGTACATAATATGCCACCCTGCAGGGAAGCTGCTGCCAACTAGGGAATGAAATTTCTAGCTCCGTACTAGATCTTTATCGCCAAAAAACGAATCAGTCCGCAAGTAAGTACATCCAGATAGGTTCAAAATCAACGAAATGTCTGATTTACTACCCTCTTTATTTCTAACTATTTCTGTTTAGTGATACGTAAATTTGCTAAGTCCAAAATAGTCACAATACTCATAAGTCGGAAGGAATAAAAAAAATGCATTATACACTTATATGTAAGGTGACGAATTTTGAACTGGTTCGGAACTATCGAAAAAGAGATACAGCGGAGAGCTTGTTTACATTACACAAATATGCGTCTGGCGGGTTTTTCGCTAGCATTCTGCACTTCACAGATGCTTTTTCATAGTTTGGTAATACAAAACAAAAATTTGTGTTAACATTTTAACATTTTGGGACTTTCTGGAACCTCTGCCTCGGCTACAGCCAAAGCTATATTAACGTGCATTTCTTACAATTATTCAAACAAATTTCATTTCAAATTGAAAATGACTTAAAATCGCACCCATAGAAACATCGAAAAGACTGAAAATGTGATGAGCATCGAAACTCGTTGAATATTTCAAATGATTGAAATTCAGCGATGAACAGCTGGCAGCCTAAATTATTAGCTGTCATTGAGGGTACGGAGCACTTCCCCCTTGGGCTGCCAATAAAGAACTTCAAAAAACGGCTAAATAATAAAATTCATATTTATTTAGCTCTATACGATTAGCTGATGTTTTAAATTTTCCGAATTTGAGCCAAATCTTAAGTTTTAAAAGGCTTGCCTAAGACTAATGATAATCATTTTTAAAAAATTTTGTAGAAAAAGTTTACTTAGATTAAAATAAAAGAAAATTACAACAACAAAAAATACCAACCAAGCGCCGTCTACTTGATCACAGATACGATGCTGACAACTTCTCCACGTATTCGATATACTCCTGTTTGGCGACATTTTGCGACTTGCCTTTCTGCTTATTCCACCATTCCCATTTGGCCTTGCCCTTTAAGTCCAGCATACCTGGCTTGGATGTGTTGTTGTCACCGACGGTGGCCTGTTTAAAGAGCGCATACAACTGCAGCAACTCCTCATCGGTGGGGCGTTTGGTAAAGGTTTTTACCTTCTCAGCAGCGGCATTGAATTTCTGAAAAAAAAAAANAATACTTTAGCATCTCCTCTTTTGCTTGTATTTTCCTCAGCGCTCTATTGACCACATTTTAGCCCAAATTTTATGCATGTTTGGAATTATAAAACAAAATTTTCATAGGCCTACATTTTGAGTTTAACTGTAATTGCATTAAACATACATATCTACATAAATACCGTTGTAACCGTGAACTTAGCTGACTAACTACATACATAATAAGCGTGTGCTCGCACTTCTATAAAACTTTCTCTAAGTCCGTAATTTAATTTGATTACTTGTATGCGTTGTTCATGTTAAGCCGGTGTAAGTGGCTTGTCTACCATGCTTGCAGCGATGTTGGCGTACAGTGAGTTGAGAGTGAGCAATAATTGAATACATATAACCTACATAAAATAGTTTGTATGAAATTGCAAAAAATGTGCACGATTTTTCTTCTTTGAATCGCATATATTTACACATGGCACAGTTCTTAGATCTTCTTCTGCTTCTGCGTGGCACTACAACCTTTTATCGGCCTGGGCAGAGGCCAAAAAACGTCTCCTTCGCGAATTTGCGTTACCAATTTTGAATATTCATAACTCATTTAAAAAGCACACACAAATATTAATATCACAACTAAACTTAATTATTTATTAAAAAAAAATATTGGACTTCAGCTTGTTCATGATTTACGCGAAGACATCTGCGACATGGAGGACTTTCCATTGCAGGGAATGACTTCTATTGTGTTAATCTATAGGTCACTTGGTCCCATGCGACCACAGATAAAGAGCAATACTCGAAGTAGACGCATAGTAGGCATAGTTTAGAATGACAGCGCCGGACATAAGCATCGGAGATGCTTCAGTGTTGCTTCGTTGGCTCCTGGCTTCGCCTATTTCCTACATTCGTCGCTAGCAGTGATGCCTACTTTGAATGCGCGTGCCGCATGTAGACAGTACCTTGCCAGTGTAAACTAGTTACGCTTCTATAGTCTATCCGTAAAAGCGACAAAGTTATATGGTCGGGCGTAATGCCCTTATGCCACCTTCTGTAGCTCGTTTCTGTAACTCTTCTCTACCGATTATTTCTCTACTGCATTTTCCAGTTTTCTAAAAAATTGCATTTATATACATACATATATGTTTATAGGTTACTCGCACTTTGCCAATTTCTAGTTAACGCAACAAATACTTTAATGAATGCCAATGAACCCTCTCATACATTTTATTGTTTTTACGTTAGACAAGTTCTGACCCACTGTGCAGCGTTGGTAATTGAATTGAAGCTGAAGGTGTGCTAATGTTGAATTGTAATTTCGTTGCTGTTTTGATTTTTATGACTCCCTATCTACCTACATACATACATATATATTCAGTTAGGAATCTCGCATCATTTATTGTTATGAATGGGTCTCAATTGAATTTTGTGTCATTTTTATTAACTGTACCTACTTTTAAATCATTGTACTTTTTTTGCATGTACATATGTACCTATGTCTTTTTACGCGTACATTTTGTTCATAACATACATTTTGTGTACATAAAGCAAGCAATCCAAATGTGTAGCTTAATTTGGAAGACCGGTTTACCGGTTTACTGTTTGGTGTAATGAGTAAATGATAATAATAAGTAGGCGATGACAAAGATGCGAATAAATACTGCAAAACGTAAACGACGCTGGTGATATCAATTTTAAAATCTCTATTGGTTATAATAAACTTTAATAACAGGTAGCGGACTTGCGTTGTTTAATTACCTATGAAATAACAGTATTTATATTAGCTATTAAGCTGGAAAAAATACACAAAAGATTTAGAGACAGCTTAAAATTAAATCACACCTTAATTTTTTTTTTTGTTACAAATGAAAGATAAAGACTAAAAAAAAAATAATAACATAATCCAAAATGAAACGAAATAAAAAATCGCATTATACTTTAATCCAATAAGTAAAAATAAAACTAAAAAATAATCAAAAATGAAAGCAATTTAATTCAAAACAAATTGAATTTACTAAATATTTGCTCCAATAAAGTTTTCATTCCTCTGCTTCTCATTGATTAGTCCTTCTAAAGACTATCTTTTTGATGAGCTTGATGAGTTTTTGATGAAATTTTATGTTACAAAAGGAATTTGCCCTTTCTGAAATACTTTGAGATGATCAATAAGAGAAAAAAGGTATACTACTTTGAAAATGAATGGAATGGGTCCTAAGAATGCTCACAAAATGTTTGCAAAGAGAAGGCACTTATTTAGTGAGAGAACTTGTACAAGAAAATAGAGTATATCGGTCAAAGGAAATGTTGTAACTCTACTTTTGCTAATGTGGCTTAGACCTCTTCTCATTAAAGATTCTGGCTCGCCCATTGCTTTTGAATACGTCTTTTACATGACTTGACCCATGGTCTTCTGATCTTTTACTATTTTAGCGTTTTGGTTATCTACACTGGCGCTTCAACTTCAAATCTTCGCTAAGTCCTTCTTCGAATCCTAAGCCCAATCCTTCTATAAAGTGCTTATATATGCTCTGGTGAAATCATTGACCCTACCGCAGATAATGAAGTTGGCTTTATAATATCAGCTCAGGACTTGGCTTCACTTGGCATTTCCAATTGGCGTCAGGTGGCACAGAAGAGAAACGACTGGCGTGCTTTTTTGCACTCGGCCAAAATCGCTTAGGCGGTCACAGCGCCAAATAAGAAGAAAAAGAAAATATAACTCAGACGACTCAAAACGACGATACAAGAAGTGTTTTTCGTCCCCTCTATCAGCATCCTTGGTCGGAAACCTTGCAGTTTAGACATAAGTTTGATTTTGTTGTGTAGTGTAATTCCACAAACAATTTTCTTAAAGGCAATTAAAGTCCATTTTTATTTGCCATCAAATGATTCGCGCTAAAGTAGTTTTTTCTAGTCTTTATTAGCTATAAAATAAGTTTCCTGGCAGCAGTATCAAGTCAAAAGCGTTAACATTTTATAAGGATGTATGTAATTGTTTTTGTTTTTTTTCAAGTAATCTTGACAAACTGGTTTTTATTTTAAAATTTCTCGAAAACCTTATTTAGTTTAATTATAAATGTACAATAAAGATAATAAAAACGTTCATATGCATTTAAAATTTATGCACAAAAACTAGCATCGACACAGAATTCGTAGTACACAGTTCACTTGGAAATAGAAAAAAAAACAAAATAAGAAGTTACGAGCACGTAATGTCAAACTCATTATAACTGCGTACATACATACATATATAGGAACCAACATATTGTCGTTTAAAGTACAAAACCGCGTATGTGAGGTTGCATAAATTATTTTCTAGATGGTTCTCTTTTTTATAAAGCAATCGCATTTCTGGCTAATATATTTCAGGACGAATGGATAAGGCTTGCGCCAAGAGCTTGTGTGAGCAAATCCAATTTTTGACAAAAAATGTCAGTTACGCGGTTTTGTACTTTAAACGAGGATATGTATTTACACAGGCGTACATTCATACATATGTACGAATACACATATTGCACATTTGTATTTAAGGGTCGAAAGTTCATGCGGGCAAAGTAAACCAAAGCTAAATGCATTTTAAATAAATATTTATCAAACAGCGCAGTGCTAAAATGTACAAAACCACATTGTAAATATATGAAACTTATATACAAAAATACGTACATATTTGTGTACCGAGCAGCAGTGCTTAACTTGTAGCTAAATGTATTTACGTACTTTAATGAGCCAACAAAAAAATAAAAAATAAAAAAACTCATAAAAAAAATTTAATGTAACAGTAACATGAATTAACCCATTGTCATTCTATGCACATGTGTAGAGTTCACTATTATTTGTCACACAATTTAATCTTTATTTAAATTAAACTCTTTCTATTAAAATCATTAGATTGCACATGCAACAAAGCACACACACACACACACACAAAAGCACTCAAATATATATTTTTTTTTTTTGCCGCGCTACAGTTCACAAAGTGGACAACGTATGATGTGCCTTGCAATGTAGGTAAGTAAGTAAGTATGTACTTAGATATGTATGTACTAGTTTATAGTACCACTTTGTGTGGATCAATTGTAAACACCGCTTGCTTTAATATCAAAACCTGAAACGTATGCCCATATTATTATTTTTTATTATAAACTTACACGATCAACGTTGTTCCACCGGAATAGCAA